AAATGAATCCCAACACGAAACGAGAATGGGAACAAACCTTATCCGACACAACGATGCCAAAGGTCTCGGATATCTTTCGGCATCTTCGCAACGCGTCTCATCGGTGTGAGAACGAAAATTCGGCGCCAAACGTACAACAAGCACCGGTTTCATACGCGCGTCAAGCATCATCGACGAATCACGCACCGTCGCATCAATCGTTCGCGAAAACATCGCCGACCATTTCGAAGCAATTGTCAATTAAGCCAAAGAAGCCTTCATCACCGCGGATGAACAAACGACAAACATTCGTCGCAGCCTCCGGAACAAACTGCACGATCTGCAATTCCGGTCCACATCAAGCGTTTCATTTCAACAAGTTTTTGAACATGACGATTAAGGACCGAATACAGGCCGCGCGCAAGGCTAATCTTTGCCTTAATTGGCTCCAAACAGACCATGCCACCGGAGCATGCAAAGGCGGGGGATGTCGCGTCTGCCAAGGGCGCCACAACACCAAGCTCCACCAAGATGCTGCGCTTCAGGACGAGGCCAACAAATCTTGACGATCAAGACGACCCGTACACCCAGAATCACGTCGACAAGGCATGTCTTTCGGATCAGACACACCGACAAACGGGCTATTGTGTTTGACCACGATCAGCGACCCGTTCACTGCCGAATACTGGTCGACACCTGCTCCAACGCCAATTTCATCACGGAAGATCTCGCGAACAAATTGCGTTTGCCATCGACGCGGGCACCCGTCGCAGTTCAGGGACTCAACCAGGTGAGCACCGTGGCAAACAAGTTGGTTTCGACTACCACTAAATCCAGGGTATCGAACTACCAACGGAGGCTTACTTTCTTCACCATCCCTCAAATATCGGAACGAACGCCAGATACACTGATGGACCGGTCGAAGTTCAAAATACCGTCCAACATTAGATTAGCAGATCCACAGTTCCATCAACCGGGAAAAGTCGATATGTTGATAGGTACCGGTCCAGCGTTATCGTGCCTCAGCATCGGCCAATTCGATCTTTCCGACCACAGCGGCCGAGACTTGATACTTCAGAAGACGCAACTAGGTTGGATCATCGGAGGGAACATGCCAGCCACGACCACGCGTACGACCGTTAAGGCACTTCTTGCGAACCTGGACATCAGCCTACAACGGTTCTGGGAGGTGGAAGAAGGACCTCGCGATCAGCATCTCTCAGCCGAAGAACGAGAGTGCGAAGATCATTTTGCAAAAACCGTGCGACGTGATAAATCCGGACGATACACGGTTGCGTTACCATTCAATGAAAAGAAAGACAACTTAGGGGAATCTCAGTCGCGAGCTCTAAACCGTCTCTTTTCTCTCGAGCGAAAATTGGAACGCAACCCGGAATTAAAGGAGCAATACATCGCGGTATTAGACGAATATATTACGCTGGGACATATGACGCAGGTAGATAAGTTCGATGCGCCTGGCTTCTACCTGCCGCATCATGCCGTTGTAAAACCTTCGAGCACTACGGCAAAGGTTCGCGTTGTTTTCGACGGTTCGGCGAAGACCAACACAGGTGTATCGTTAAACGACACGCTAAGGATAGGTCCGACTATTCAAGACGATCTGTTCTCACTTCTGTTGCGATTTCGAACGTACGCATTCGTAATTACCGGGGACATCGAAAAAATGTATCGACAATTCCTCGTACGACCAGAGGACCGAGCGTACCAACCTATCTTATGGAGAGACAAGGATGGCCGCGTAAAAACGTACGAACTAAACGTGGTCACATTCGGTCTCTCGTCGGCTCCATTTTTGGCGATCCGATGCGTGCATCAACTCGCAAACGACGAACGCAACGCGTATCCGAAAGCGACAACGATTCTAAAGCGAGATCTGTACGTAAACGACCTTCTCACGGGCGCCAATACGGTACACGAAGCGAAGCGCTTACAAACGAAAATTAGTGAACTGCTTAAGAAAGAAGGACTCAACATCCGTCAATGGGCCTCCAATGAACCCGACCTTCTCGAGGGATTGAGCGAAGAGCAGATTCATCCGAAAATTCTAGGAGACGCCGCCGTGATGAAGACTTTGGGAGTAACGTGGGACGCGAAGAACGACACAATTCGCTACACGGTCTAAGTCCCAAACAACAACAAAATCAGCAAGCGAAACATTCTGTCGACAATTGCCAAAATATTCGATCCATTAGGACTCCTTGGACCCGTCACAGTTGTCGCCAAAATCCTAATGCAACGTCTTTGGCAATTGAAGATCAATTG